CGGCTTTTCTTGGAATTTCTTGGAGTAGGCTCGCGACTAATCGATCGATCGTTCAGCGAGCAACTCAACGCATGGTTTCTTGCAATTAGGTCATTTCATCGCTTTGCGAGCGAGCGTTTGAGAAAGCGATAGAACTGATTCGCTAAACGATTACTCTCATTCCAAGTACCACCTCAGATTACGCGACAGAGATGCTGCCAGCGATCAATCAAGACGACACACTCACTACTCGTTCATCATGCCCCGAGGTGTTCAAAACTTGTCTCATACATAATATGCTCATAAAAATCAACTTCGTTGCAATTATTTTTAGTAATAAAAAATTGAATAAACTGAAAAATTGAATTGAATTGAATAAATTGAATGAGTTCGCGAAATTCGCGAGCAAAGCAGAATGAACTAAGGGCCAAGCAATGCAGCTGCAGTCCTTTTGAGTCCGAACAAAATTCGAAGCTTGCTATTGTGGATGAGACATTCAACTTCGCTGAAATGCGGCAATTTTAAAACAATTCACGAAAATGCTGGGCGTGGAATGTGCTTTCAGTGCGGGGAAAAAGTGGGTGGGTGGGTTGGGGTGAGGTGAGAGGGGAGATTATAAGTAGGACAAATAGTGAATGGTTATTAAAAATGGTTATTAAATATATTAATTAAATTCTTAATTTATTAATGTTTGATGATCTTGCGTGGATGCGTTATTGTCAATCCAAGCGCCTCTTTGAAGCTGACGTAGGTATTATGAGAATCCAACTGCTTAAATAATAAGTCGAACTTTGACGAACTTTGGCAGTGATAGCTTAACGAGCGATTAGTATCTTGAAAGCAAACATGCAAATATCATGGATGAATATGATTTTTAACTGTTTGGCTTCAGTCGCATAGATCATATACTGTAAAATTTCTGGCAAATGGCCTAACAGGCTACAAGATTTTTTCTTATTAGTATTCGTTGTTTGGATGTTTGAAGTGGGAAATCGAAAAAGCGAATTTTTACGAAAAATGAACTTAGAAGGGTGAGAAGTCATTTTAATATTTTAATATATTTTTCACTTAACATTATCCATTATTGTATTTTTCATAATCTTAATTTGAGCATGTATAGATAGTTGTAGAGTTTTCAAAGGAGTTTCACATAACTTTTCTACGGCGACAATTTTCAGTTCATTTCAGCGATAAATAGGCAAAACAAGTATGGTGGAAAAATAGAACAGTATAAAAATAACAGTAAAATCTTTGAACAAAGAATGTGGAAATGCGAGCCAGTCAGATTGCTCGAAATCTAACAAGGGAAATGAAAATTATCTTTCAGCACTTTGCAGACACGATGGAGTGTTGGCTATAACTGCTTGGAAAATCAGATCGCTTATGGTCATTGCAAGCTAAGCGATTATTGTTCACGCTCTTTCTAAATGCCGTGTGGATATCGTTCGCTTGTTGGAGGTTCATCTTCCTAACTTCAGGTCTCGAGTAATTACTAAATCTAGCTTCGAGGTGCTGGCTGCCATTTCGAATAACTTGAGACGAAATAGTGACTTTCATGTGAAAAAAGCTCGGTCCGCACTGATCGAGTGGAAACCTGCCGTATGATCTACGATTACTTCAAAAGAAAGTTCCACAATATTTCAGTCATCACTGTTTATGTTCCATCACTGTTTATGTGCAGATGATCACGACTAGTATAAATTCTTTGCTGTTTAGGTGACATAGTCATAAACAGAGGAGAGTGGAATGCGCTTAGATCATGCTATGGCCACGATAAAGTCGATAATTGGCGAATATAGCATCGGAGATGGACATTTTTTAAATTTTTTAGCTTCTAATATATTGTGCCATATACAATTAAGACGACAATTAGCAACAGAATCTTCCATTTACAACGCTGAATATAATATTCAACAAACAATTTACATCAGATGATATCATATCTATCATCTCTCTTCAAATTATTTCGCACAAGAATCAAAAGTTCAAGCATTGGGGCCGCACTTGCTGATTTTACAAAACCAATAATTTCTATTTGATTGTCCCATTCATTTTCCATATCTGATGGTAACAGCTGAAAATTTGGCTTCCATCAGTTGCAAATCAGAAACATATTCAAAAAAATGCAAAGTTATTCATTCAAACATTCAAAAAAAGGGAAAAATTTTCAAAAACCTTTTAATAAAGGAAACTGCAAATGTTCCAAGTAGTCCATTAAGGATGGAAGTTTATGTGAATAGCTAGCATCATCGAATTTTCCAACAAGTTTTTCCCAATGGGGAATGTACATTTATACATAAAATTGCGAATGAATATTTTTATTTTTCGAAATTATAAATAAATTTCAAATTAATTTACTTTAATTTCAATGTTGAACATTATCCTGTGAAGCCAGCAAAATTGGATGAATTTATTGGCTTTTGAGAGAATATGGAGGAACCAACAGATTTATTATTAACTTACAAGTTAGTGAAAGTTCATTTTTTTTCTCATTTATATTGTTTATTAAGAATTTACAATACAAATTATGCTTCAAAATGAAGAATAAATAAATGAATAATTTGAAATATGATTTTATTCAATATCAGAAATCCGACGGAATAGAACGGCTCAGTGGGTTGTTCCCGTCATTTCAGAGCAGCGCTGCTGGATTCCACTCCCGCAGGAGTAATGTTCGCAATCCATCCGGATTAACATGTGATTTCATGGTGAAATTTGTCTTGTAGGAAAGCTAGTAGAGCGAGTCGAATGGGTAGGTGCTTTGCAAAGACTCGTAGAAAAAAACGGCATTATTTTATAAAAAATATTTTGAGATTAAATGTTTTTTTCTCTAATTTTCATATTTATCCAATAATTATTGGAAACAAACATAAAAAAAAACTATTATTTTAAAAAGTAATCTGAACTGCGGCGATCCATTCTTGAAACGAAGGGGGGCTTATGTAAACTTTTCAGCAGATTATATGCTAACTCAATATATTAAGCTGACCAATTTTTTAACCTTATTCTACCAAATGTTTACTTAACTTCCGCAAAAATATTTTGATTGCATGGCTTTAAGGCCAATTATACGCTGCTTTGGTGATTAAGTTCGGACATATTTTGATCTTATTCTTCTTCTAACAGCATCCATTGCTCTCGGTTCACGCGCCATTCACAATTAAATAACGTCGTTCCCCGGGATAGTCCATTTCGATTTGGATATAGAGTTACAGTTCTACAGGATCTTATGGCTATCCTGGTTTTCCTTTTAATAAAAAAATTCACCCTTGCCAAGCAACATGCACCAGACTTGAATAAATCATACTTCTTCAGCCGACGCAACCATCCGACCACTCTATCCTTTTTTTCGATCTGTTATTTCCATAGTACCTTTTCAAAGCAACTTTCTTTTTTTTCCAGATAAGCTTTGAAAAACAATTAAAACGCGCTCGAAGTACAGAACGACTACGCATATTTTTGCTTATGAATAATAGGTTGCAAAGAATAACTGAATTCGCATGGAAATGAGAAAGAAAAAAAGCTATATTCAAACCAATCAAACGAACAATGGTTATAGCAATAAAGAAAAAATCCAGATATTCGTAACTGCTAGATTCCAAGACAATATTACGGTAACAGCAGTAATAGTAGAAATAACAGTAGTATTCACTATTAACAATGCTGTTATTCACACCAAACTAAAAGGCAAACAGATATCAGCGAATTTTCTTCTAAAAATTCTAAGATTACCACGCCGCCAGAGACTCTTATGGAGACATAAATGCTGACCTTATTGTGCGTGAAATGAAACCAAACTTTAAAGAATGGCAGTGGAAGCATGGTGAGAAATTATGGCTGAAAAAAAAAGAACGAAAATGGTATACAAAATGAGGAAAGAAAAACGTTCATATTTTGAAAAGGACTATACCGGATAAACCGAATGGATTTCCCACGCAGAATATCACATCCACCGACAAAAAATGATAAGGCGAATCCCCAAAGTCATTCCCGAACTTTTCCCCTTTGATATTAGGAAAAAAGAAAAATTGGTGCAATCACTTCTTAGCAGGCAATTACAGAGGCAGCAATATTACGGGAATGTTACAAATAAATGTACAATAGACAAAATTGCCCAAATGGCAGTGGACCTCGACTATTTTAAATCATGAAAACAAAATTAAACGATTTCAGAATTTGCCAATGCAAGAAAGCACAATACAAAAGCCCAAATAATGTACTTCGGATGGACAGCCTTAGATTTACTCTATTTTTTACGACCTAAATCATGTCAAACGAACTTTCATCAATAAAATATCTCTTTTTGCTGGCCACCTAAAGTCAAAATATAAATGTTTTATAGTCATTTTAATGCTCTAAATAAGTTTTAAAATAAAGGGAATTGAAATGTTCGAAGCATTCGCACATACGATTAAATAATTTATAAATTATAGGAAAAAATTAAAATAGACAGCTTTATTTGCCGAACGAAGTTGAACTTTAAAACAATGAATTCAATGAACCGGTGGATGGGAACTCAGCTTTGAAATAGGCAAGTTGTAACTGAAAATAGAAGACTGCAGTTGTCGATTCAAAAAGCAACGATTGTAATATAATATTTCATATAAAATAAATTGTTTAATCACAAAAAAAAGAGAAAGCAAAATAAGGATTGTCTCCTGCCAATCGCTTCAGTTCAGATCTGGCGGCGCTTCAAACCTGAACGAAGACAACTTATTCTCGCCATAAAGCAAATTGGAGCCGAGAGAAAACATAAAACTCTTGAAATGCGAATATTACGTTATCAAAAGAATGATGCTCCTTAGTTCATGAAAATTACAATGATCAACCACAAGAAAATGTTAACAGAAAAATTTATGTTAAGAAAAAAACGTGAAGAGGCCAAGAAAACTAGATAATGAAATCTATAAGAGAACTTTCACATATATAGCGTATCCATATCCACTGCATGAGCAATCTTCACCACATACACAAAAATAAAAAACAATTAACAATCGAAGACCATCAACCGTTTTTACAGCTTATTTTTTGCCTCTGCTGAAAAATCCTCTTTTAGCTTTTGACGAGCCTTCTGCAGGTAGCGTTTGCGAGCGCGACTGTTCCTCTTGGGACTGGCCAGTTGCTATTTGCAAACGCCGCAACCACCGTTCCAAATCTTCCTTAAAATTTAAATTGGATTTGGATTTCAATATAAGAAATCTAAGAGTTCTACTAAAATGGCGCGGAAATGGCTACGTTTATCAAAAATTTTTAATAATTTTCCTTTTAAAAGATCCTGGAATTGAAGCAAATTTTAATATTGGAATTTTGAAATGGAAATTCGGAAAATTAAGAAAAACAAGTAGCCCGGATAAAACAGGAAGTGTCAGAAAATAATAAAGTATAATATAGTCATCTGGCATATGCTTAATATTATGTATCTTAAATGTATTCACTCGCGTTCTATGGTTTTCTTGAAGTGAAAGAGAACCTCGCTTGCTGCTTGTAAAAGAAATTCGCCACCAGCACTAAGCTTCAGTGATAGCACATTTTTCTTTTTCGTATAATTAGCTGCAACTGCAACCGTACAATTTTCCAAAGATATCGGCTCTTCACCATGGAAAAATACATTTTCCTCTTTGTGTTTTAGATCCTTGAAGAACGACAGCTGGGAACCACGAAGTACTGCATAAACCTTTTCCCATGATCTGAAAACACTTTATAGTTAAAAGAACCACAGTAACATGAATCAGAATCATGTTACTGATTATAGCATTTGACCGAATTACCTGCTCGAAGCTTTTCGGTACAACGATTCATAGGTATGCTTTCTGATCAAAACACCTTCAAATGCATCACCAATATCGACGCCTAAACTTACTTTTTTTTAGAAAAAACGAAATATTAAACAAGATAAAAAAAATGTAAGGAAACTTATAGAACTCAAGGTGAAAATTTTTTTTTTCGGCATTTAATCTAAAGAAAACTTTTAATTATTTTAATCAGAATATGAAAACCCCGACTACGCTGAAAATAAATTAATCGCAGTAAAGAAATCTTAATATTTATAAAAAATAATCCTTAGAGATAAAAAAAAGGAAAAGTTAAAGTTAAAACCCCCTGCATTAAAAAAAATTGGCACAATTAAAAAAATGCGGTAATTAGAACAATAAAAATTAAAGGTTAAAATTACTGCATTCATATTTCGTAGCATCAGATTCAATAAAACAGCGGAAATTATGAATATAATAAAGCACCACAAAGCCACATTTTAACACTATTTGTACGATAATATTAATAATGACTAGCATCTACATAAATATATTTCCATGGCCACAGCTTACCGCGTAAATCCTGAGCATCGAAACGTACCGACCGAGATAACGAAAGTCGCCAACCGGATGTTTCCGAAGAACCTAGTCGACTTCGTTCTGCAAAATAGCACACACTAGCACGGTGAATAAACAAACAGCAAATTTACCACCATTTATCAAAATAATTTTACAAATGATAATATTAATTTTATAATTTTCTTAGCACTTATGCACCATATTTTGTGAAGAGAATTTTGGTTTTATCAACATTTCTTATCTATACATCATGAAACTTAAATTCCCTTCCAACACTGATAAGTGTAAAATATTATGCTAATAAAATGTAATAAATATTTATTGCCGAATAAATAAACCACACTCTTTGGGCACAAGACTATGCAACAAAAAGTCTGCCATTTCTTTGCAACCATCTCAAACATCTATTCTTCAAACCTCAAATGAAAAAATTCAAAAGAGGGAATGGTACTCCTCTGAATTAAAATTAAGATTTATCTACTGAAAAAAAGATTCTTAAATTTAAATCTATCCACAAAACCAGCAACATTGAACATTAGGAGTACGAAAAATTTCATCAAGAATCAACAACTGCCGACTCAATTTGTTCTTAATAGAATAAATGTGCGCAATATTAAGTGCAAGATGCAAATTAGGCAAGAAAATTTCATTTAGATGATATGCTGATAACGGTTACCCTCATTTCAGTCCTAAACATTGAATATATAATCAAATATATTATAATTTCACCAGCGATCAAATAGCGATCGTTCTAGTTACTTTTAATGCACAACTTTCCACATGCAAATTAATCGAGATTAAGAAATCAAAGCTAGCACACTTTTCTTGAAGAAATGAAGAATCTACCAAGTGCTTTCGATCTTCTTGGAATTGTTCCACTTTCTGTGCTACTCACCGTTACATCCTGTGCGCGATCTGCAAGTAATACAAACCATGCAACGAAAAGGACAGCACTAGTAAAGAATGAAATCGTGCAAAATATAAAAAGCTTATTAAAATAAAAAAAATTAACATAGAAGATTTTCGAATATCGCAGAAAGTGCAAGTAAAAACAGGCACTTTTCACCATTTAACCATTTTTTTTTCAGCTTCACAATCCCTATTCAGTCATTTATGAAAATAAAAGAAATATCAACTTGTGCTTAAAATTCCGAAGTCCACACAATAAAACGAAGAAGTAAAAGATTAGATATTAAATTAAGATGTAATACCTTACGCTTTAAAGTCTTACTGAATCCACATAATACAAAGAATGCATGAAAAAAAAGGATGGTACAGTGGCTGAGATAACTGATACAGTCTACTCACCTCTGAGTCACTTTTTGATGTTTCCAAATAACGCAAACACACAAAAAATTCAACTCAAACTATGTGATGATCAGGAAATGAAAAGGCTAAATTCTGAATTCAAAAACTATAACAAATAATAAATTTGCATACAAATAATAAAAACAAACCATCCGAAGTCTCTGGACCCCTTTCAGCGCTAAACGATTCACCAACCCTTTCACCAGCGGTCGTAGAAGCCATTTTTTGAGGCGACATTCGAGGACCACCAATTCGACGGTCGGCTTCTTCATAATCGCGTCGCTGCATTTCTTTAATTTCGAACTGTAAACAGATATAATAATTTATATCAAATTTATAATAATATCAAAACTCTTCTGAAAATGAACATGCGATGCGCTGCAAATATCCTCAGAATAAATTAAAATTAAAAGACGTTAGATGGAAGTGCGAAAAACTTTGCCAAAAAATGTAATGGAAATATAGGTAATAGATAAGACAAAAAAATTCATTGTGCTTTTTAAATGCAGAAGAATTAAGATTTTTCGTATCAAAAACTAATGACCCAAAGATATAGGGTAAAATCACACGAACAAAAAACTCAAGTTGTGAGGATTATGATCTGTAAGTCATCAGTGCAATTCTTGTAACACTGTGGTAAGCACAAATCATTCTTTTTGTTTCACGCCACTCATACTATCTACCATTTCTCTTTCGAGACGTTCTATGAAACGAAGATCAGCGCTTGGTACAAGTCCGTGAAGTTTACGTTTTGTACCACCCATTTGAAGCCAAGTAAAATATTGTTTTGCAATCAGTTCCAGCTAGTCAAATCAAATAGGGATGAAAAAAAAAATAAAAAAAAGTGGGTATAGAAAAAGATAAAGAATAAAAAATCTTGAATATATCTGGAACCTATTAAAAATCTTAAAAATAAGAAAGTTAATCCACACAGCTTTCAGAATCAGAATGCTTTTCTGAACTTAAGAACCTAGGAAATATCCACAACTTTCCAAACAACAAAAATTATACCGTTGTAAGCTTTTCAAGCGCAAGGAATCGCTCTTCTTGAGCTGCAGCTGATTTTTCGAATGCTTCATGTTTCTTTATTAATTTTATAGTCTCTTCGAGATTTCGCTACAAAAGAGGATGTTTAGACAGAATCAAAAAAAGAGTGATTTCAATCACCTAAAATAGAAATTTCAATACATATTTCAATTTAATATAATCTCAAATCAATAACTAAAAAATGTAAAACTTAAGTTCATACCCCATACTCTTTTGATATCAAATATGGTTCTTGAGCCATTAACCAACTCTCAGCTACAGCTGCATCGCGAGCAAACTGATAGACTTCCAATACTAAAATATTTTACCCCAAATAAATATCGACGAAAATTAAATATGGACGAGATATCACAATAAACTAAGTAATAACGTTTCATAAATTTTATAAATAAATAGTAGAAAAACTCACTAAGTTGCAAGTATTCCCATCTATCTTCCCATCTCCGCATCATTTCTGCTCTTTCTGTAGTTAGTTTAATTAATTGTTTCTCAATTTCTGATGAGGCATAATGTTTCCTATTTAGAAGATCACGGCCTAATGAAATACAAGCATTGAAATTTTCTTCGCGTGCATCAATCTCTGCCTTTAAACTCTGATGATTATTCATTAACAGTTCAACACCTGATACGTCCTGCAAAACAAATAATTACCAGCTCATCAAAATAATAAACTAATGATAAACTAATTAAACTAATAAAATAAACTACAAAGAATATAATTGCAAAACAAAAATATGATGTATACAGTACAAAACCATAATTCCGAATGAAGCTCACAGAACTGAGGACTGAAATAAAGAATAATGAACCTTGGGTCTTTCTTGAGTATTCATTTCACGTTTCACTTCATCCATCCATAAAAGCAAATCACGGACCATGTTCATGAATCGGAACAAGTCAGATGTGTCGGAAAGTCGCTGAGAACGAGAGTCGCATATTGCCCGTAACTGTCGCCATGCTTTAGTTACTTCTGCCTCTCTAGCCCCTATTTCGATAGCCTTATCTCCAGCATATGCATCGCGCAATTCTACTGCATCTCTTTCGATCTGAGCTACTTGTTGACCAATTGCTTCAATATCCTGCAATTTCGTAAAGATCGATGAATAAATTGACATTCATCACAAGCAACTCATTTCATTTGCATTTAAAATAGCAGTACCACCTTAAGAAAAGTAAGATGTTTTCGTTTGAGCACACCAACAGATGAAGAATCACGACCAAGTTCTTCCGGAATTGCATGATTTTTCTCCAGGATACGAGATAAGCAGTCACGACAATCATGGAAGAATTTATGGAGCATTCGAGATGCTTCAAGAAGTTGCATTCGTGTGTCCATAAGTTCTAGCAAATTTTCCCAAGCTTCATTAAGGCTATCTTTCCAAAGGGCGATAGTAGGTGCATCGGTATGGCCCAGACTGATCAACTGCAATTAATAAATAAAGAACTTGATGCAAAATATTACATATTTTTGTTGATATCATCAGCATTAAAATAAAAATAGGATCATATAAACCTGATCACAAGCATCATTTGCACTGGACACACGATCTGACCCAATGGTTTCAGTATCGCGAGCAAACTGCTGGAATCTTTCTATGAGCATCTGCACATGTTCATAATCTTGCCCAGCTTCTTGCGAGCCAGCAACAACCTAAGAAAATAGATCTTCAGGCTAAAAAATATAGTTCATTGCAAGAATATATAACAAATTCTCAATTTCTAAGAAACTCGAAAAAAAAATTTAACATAAAAAAATAAATTTATATACGTAAATTTAACATATATAAATTTAATATATATCTGTGACACTTCTGAAATCGTAGGATTTACACTAGCAGTTTAATAAATGATAAAACCTCTTTATCTGCAATCCATTGAAGCAAATCATCGATTTCACGATGTAGCTCGTATAACTGTAATGTTTCATCAAGTCGTTTTCTACGTTCTCTACATAGATCTTGCAACCCTGCGTATAATTTTTCGATTTGTGCTTGTCGTACACTTATCTGCTCACTAAAATAATAGTCAAGAATTTACCAAAATAGATAAAATCACCTTAGTGAAACCATCTCATTAAAAAAAAAAAAAACGAACTGTAAAGGACTTTTCTCATCAACGAATTTCTGAGCTTGGCTAGCCAAATTTCTGATTGTATCTGCGTACTGATTGATGTCTTGTTGTAAACGCTCGTGATTCTTAATTTGATTTTGAGTGGAGAATTCATCTTTTCCGCGTTCATCCTGTAAAATTTATTCAAATGTTCTCCGCGGCATTTCAACTCCCTTTCTTAATATATTTTTTTTACGAATTTACGAAATATTCTAAATTCTCATTCTTATGTTCAAATAGAAATTAGAGGGATAAGAAGTTAACCTACCTGCATCATATAAAGCTCTTGTTCACTCATCCATGCTTCTGCCTCATTGCAGTCATACAAGAACTGGTGGGCTTTTTCACTTTCACTTAAATGCTCTTTACGTGCATCGACTGCATCCTTCAGTTCCTGCAAGAATCCAATATTTATAAAAAAATCAAATATTATGGACTGAATAAATTTCCACACGTTAATGGTAAATTAAAAGAATATCAATTAGAATGCAAACTTTAAGACGAACCTTCCATGTATTTAGTAATTCATTAATTTTCAATTCAAATGCAGCACTATTTTCATATCCCTCATCAATTAGTTCGCGACCATTGGCACAAATTTTTTCAATCCAGGGTTCGTGATTATCAATTTCATTTCTAAGTGACTGCAATTTTTTTTGAAGGCGATTGCAGTCGAACAAACTTTCACCGATTTGACGTGCATGTGCCAAAGGCATGCGTTCTAAACAAAATGCAAGTTGGATTAAACAGTTTAGATAAGAAGTCACAATTCTCAAACAAAAAAATCTCAGAAAATTGCACAGTATACATGTTTTTTTCAAGATAACTACTGACAGAAAAAGTATTCCCACAAAACAGTGATGCTCATGACCATAATTGAAAGAATTAGAGAAAATTATTTACCTGCACACCACAATTTTTCATCCTCAACATCACGCATAAATTGATAAGCTTTCTTTTTTCGTTCCAACTGGCGACGCCTATCATCAAGTGGAGCTTGTAGGCGTTGCAGCTGCTCTTGTACAGCAAGTCGATGAGCCTTGATAGCTTCTACTTCATCGGGATGCATTTCTTCTAACTGCGGTTCCATTTGCTGAAAACATGAATATATTACTCTTTATATTATTAATATAAAGAAAGAAATAAATATTCAGACCAAGGTTATAAGAACAAAAAAGAAAAAGAACTTTTAAATCAGAGTTTACCTGCAGTGAGTCCATTTGAGCAGCACGTTTAACCATTTCGCTCTCAATTAATTGCTGCTTTTGCATGGCAACGTTGACAGTGGTTAAATCTTGACCAGTATCTTCACTCAACATTTGTTGTTGCAATTGTTCAGCCCATTCCTATATTAAAAAATAGTCGACCATATAGATCAAAAAACCATTTATTCACGAAATACAGAAAAACATCTACCTTCATATCGGAAATGCTTTGCACATAAAGTTGCTGACGATTAGCATCAAATAATTTCTGTCCTTTTTCAACCGTAGTTTTCTCCAGTTGTTCCCACTGTACGGAAAGATCTTTAATTTGTGGATCGATTGTTCCAACAAATTCAGGCTTTTCTTCAGCCAGACGAACTGCTGCGTGCCGGAGCTGGTCAAGCCGTTCTCTGTTTGATTGCAGCTCAGATTGGAATGCTTGATGACGAAGAAACTTAGATGTAATCGTCTTTGCATCACTGTAATATCCTTAGTACTGAATGAATTAGTCTACGAGAAAGTAGAAGGGATAAGATAAAAAATGTCATTGGATCAATATGTACCATTTGATGGTGTCTTTAATTGGTAGATCGACCGAAAAACGGCACAAATTAATATTTTTTTAAAATGCCTCGGGAAATCAAAAGCACATATAATTTAACATACCGATAGGTTTCATCTTGCGCTCGAATCATTTTTTCTTCGATCCACTCGCGCAATTCTTCACAATCTGATAAAAATTGTTGCAAGGCAAGTGCATCCTTCAACTTGGCAAATACTGCGGCTGCTTTTTCTCTGTTGGCTTCACGTCGTTCTTCGATATTTCGAGCTTTTTTATGGACCTTGTCTGCGGCATAATGTCCATCAGTGCAAAGTTGATCACCAAATAGAACAACAGCCTGAAACAATAAGCATTCGGATAAACCCTTAAGAGTACCTAAACTTAATCTAATTTTTTTATATGACAAATTCAGGAACAAACAAAATTCAAATTCAGCCCACAATTTTTAATCAATGTAAATATATAAAAATAGAAAAGACTGAAGTTAGATAAAAGATGAAAGAATATTCATCACAGGGAATATACCTTAATTTTCTCGTCGTTTGCATCCATAGTAGTGAGAAAATCTTGATGTTTTTTCAACATATTTTCTGCTTGTTCCAATGAACTAGGTGCTTCCTCTTTAGTTAAATAGTTTTCTTGTTGTGACAGGATAACTTCAGCTTGTTTAGCATCACGAAGGAACATCTAAACAGAAATTTCGAATGGTTAAAAATCATAAATGCAGATAAACACGATATTTCACTTGCCTGAAGATTTAGACCCTGACTGAGCAGATGTTGGCGGTTATCCCACATGCGTTGCAATTCTTCCCAACCTTCCTCTAATCCTGCTAAACGCTGTCGAAGGAACATATATTGAGGATCAGTTTGATCTTGAGTGACACGATCACCCATTGCACGCATCTAATGGAAAAATAAATACTAATAAAATGACACGAATAATTACTGTAATATGAAATGTTCCAAATTAAAAAAGCTATGAGAATGAGATTGAAGAAAAAAAATTCTCAGTGAAAAAACAATGTAAAAATAAACCTTAACATAATCTTCTGCATATCCGTCAATTTCTTCACGAATAGCCGCATGTTGATTTAATAATTGCTCAGCATCTGCCAAAGACTGAGGCTCATCTTCTGACGCTACCTGAAAACAATGATGCAAAAAACCATCAAATAAATGCCAATGTTCATTATGGAAAGGTAATTAGAAAACTGTATCTGATCAAATGTGAATGCGAATTCGAATAATAACCATTTAATCATGGATATTTGTCCATCTTTTTTTCATTCATTAATATCATGAATAAAATTACCAATACAATAGCCAATAATCATGCTGTTCCTAACCACATTAATTGACTAAATTAAAAGAGAAAAAAAGATCATTCCTTCAACACGTCTGAACAAAACTTTATTATCCAGCACAATGTTTATAAAGGAGAAAGAGTCGCCATTAATTACCTGCCGTTGTGTAGCAGTAAGCCATGCTTGGAAATGGTCAAGATCACGAAGGAACCGTTGCAAATCGCCAGCTTCATCCAATTTAGCTTCGTGTTCTCTAACTTTACGATTCAATACATCCCAAACTTGTTGGATACGTCTAATATCGTCACGAATTATTGCAGCATGCGACGGTTTCTCTTTTTCAATCTCCGCTGCTTCAGTTTGCAAGGAATCCAATTTGGCCTGAAACATGAATAGCTAAAAAATTTAAAATTTTTGCATCTCAATATGTCTGCAACTGCAGTTTAGCTCAGAATATCAAGTATAATATTAAGCGGCAATGCCAGCAGTTCTTCATTACCTGTATAGCACCCAGATCTCGTTCCATCATACTAAGTCGCCGCTGAAGTTTCATGACACCAGTTAAATCATTTGTCAGGTCATCAGCATCTTCCAATACACGAGTTTTGTCTTCAATCCAAGAAACTGTTTCCTGACAATCAATACGGAACGTTTCAAGACGATGAGCTTGATCGAGTTCAGTCCGTTTCTGATCTACCATATCACGTAACTGAGCCCACCTTAAAAACAGAAAAATTGTTTTAAATATAATTGCGACCTGGAGTGAAGACATAACCGTAAAAATTCAAGACAAAAAATTAAAGACTCTGACCTTGCATTGAGTTTATTTTGCCTTTGCAGTATTTCTTCAGAATTAGGATGATCAACATGAAGCAACTGACGGGCGAGTTCATTAACAGTGGCGACTTTTGCAGCTTGGTTATTCATGTCTGTTTCAAGAGTTTCAAAACGATGTTTCATGATTTCAACTTCCTCAAGATCTCCACCGGGAACCAATGTTGCAAGTAATTTGCCCTGTAAAACATTCCAGTAAGAGAAATATCTGAAAAACAAAAAAAAAATGACACATCATTTTGACAATTTACTGATAAAGAATTATGAAAAAGTGATAATTGCCTTTTCGTCGATCCAAGCTTCAATGCTATCTGCATCACTAAATAATTTATAAAGAGAAAGGGCATCTAATAATCTCTGCTTTCTAAGACGAGACAACTCTTCAAGTTGTGCCTTGCGGCGCAGAGTGGTATCCAGACGTTCCAGCACATCTGGATGAGTTCTAGCATCAGCTGGTAGCATTTCAGCCTAAAAATATTAAAACGCATCATAGAACCCATTGCAAAAAAAAGAAATTAATTCAAAAAACTTATGATAAATGTAAATATAAGATAATTTTTCGATAAATTTATAAATTTCCCATTCAAAACTACCTGCAGGTGTAATTGTTTGATATTTTCATCGAATTTCAGCAGATCCTCACTAACGTCATCATGTTTTCTTATCAATAACTGTACAGTACCTTCATCTTTACCAACATCTTCGCTTCCAACAAGTCGAAGAGTATCTACTAAGTAAGCATCCACATCGTCCGCATCATTAAAGAACTAAAATAATTTAATAAGGAGCAATAGGGACACCAATAATTTCAAAACGTATGCCCGAAAAATCAGCGAAAACTAACCTGGTAATAATTGACACCTCCAGCTAAACGCTTATGCCGTTCATCTGCTAACTCCTTCAATTTGTTAAAGTAGTCTCGGACAGTAGCTAAGCGTTCTTTGATTGCTTCCGATCCTGAACAATTCATTTTCAGCCAGCAATGAAGTCAGTAAAGGGCGAAATATAAATGGGTGACTGTGAAAACTTATAAGGATATAGCTGTAATAATCATACCTGGGATATTTTCTGCTTCAAGCTTTTCTCCCTCTTTATCAAGATCATCCAATCTACGACCAGCCATATCAAGATATTGTTCAGCATTTTTATGCTTCGCCAGGAGTAAAGAAACCGAAACCATATCCCGTCCAGTATCAGGTGACGTTAGAACCTAGCACACACATTTTTCAAATTAAATAATTTATATTTCCCTTATTTAAAACAATAGCCTCTAAAATTCTAAAATTACTAAGCTTTCGCTTCCATCAAATTAAAATAAATTTGCTGAAGTTTATTCCAAAAGATAAAAAATTTACGATGGACAGTGATAATACAACAATTAAATTAAAAAAATATAAACCTGTTCACTTTCTTTCAAATTTTGTTCAAGTTCAGCTACATCCCACCAGAATTGATATAAACGGAGATTATCTTCAAGACGACGCTTACGTTCTTCCGAAAGCTTTTTAAGCTCTGCATAACGATCTACTAAAATTTGCATTCGTTCCTCAACCAGTGATGGTTCCACCGGCTTGTAACCTAAACGATCAGTAATTGATCGCAGAAATCAATAAAATATGCAATTCGTCATTAGTTTAAATAATTCTTAGACGAGAAAAAAAAATAAAAAAGCTTAAAAAAATAAAAAACCGCTTCCATCCGGTCCACTTGGCGCCGTAAACTTCTCAGCTTGACCATTTACGGCTCGGACTCTGTCACCAATGATGTTAATGTCCGATTCCAGTAATGCGTGTTTCTGAAGCAGATCTTCCACCCCTTCTAAATGTTGCCCAAGATCTTCAGACAATAAACGGGCCTAAGATCAAATTGAATTAATATAAGTTTACTTGCGTATGAATATAAAATGAGAATAAATTAATATTTTACTCCCAAAAATAATTGAAAATGAGGATACACTAGAGAGATCCGAAAAAAAATTTTTTTCCACAGAAACTTTCAATTTGAACCAACAATATGAATATAAAAGAAGACTGACTTTGATCTCATCACACCAGTCCAGTACATGAACCATGTCATGAAAGATTCGTTGTACTGCCATTGATAATTCCAGCCGAACTCTACGGGCCAGCAATAACTCCAATAAATAGTTCCACAGTCGCAAAACATTTTCTTTGCTAAAAAAATGTTTTTTCTTCGAAAATTTGAGAAAAGTAATGAATGAACATTCGACATTTGAGAATAGAATCAGAAAGGTAGAAAATTAATTAACGATAAATCAAGATCATTTCTTTTAATGAATTACCCTTCATTAATTCGATTGATATCATGGTAGTTTTCAGCTTCTAGTTCATCAGCTACGGCCACTACGGCTTGAACACGCTCTTCGTAAGCATATATATCAGTTTCAATTGCTTCATGCTTCTTAGTAGCTGCCTTAAATCATTTACAACCAAGTCATTGGTTCCACGAAACGAAACAAATTTCTATTTCACATCATATTTTTGATTATTTTGCATTCAAATAATACAAAAAACGGTTCTTGAAAAAGAATAACCACAGATACCTCAACACTAGCAAGATCGGTGCCAAAGTTATCCTGGCTGACAAGCCGCTGATTTTCGCTCAACCACGTTTCACGCATCCCAGCTTTCCGATCAAAACGAGCTGCCAACTGTTCTAATTTTTCTTGCCTAAAAACAATTAAATCATTAAATCATGTATTATTCAGGATTAAAAAGAATGGTCACCTAATAATTTCTTCTTTTAACGCCAGCTCCCTTTCATGTTCTGCCCTTTCCAAACTCTCCCATGCACGATTAATATCCGCAATAAGCTTTCCCTCGCGAGGAAGATAGGGCCTTTGATTATTTGCTCGCATACGACTTTGTATAGTAAACAGCAGTATTTCCAAATCGCCTTTTTCGTTGAACCTTGAAATAATTTTAAAAATTATGAAGGAATAAATTTAAATTCCATCTAATGTTTAATACTTAATACATGCGAGAAAATAAGGTACTTAGGTGGCTTTTCCTTCGTACGATAACTATTAAATTCCGCCAACTGCTTTTGTACACCACTAAGAGAATTAACAAAACGACGGTCATTAAGAGTTTCGATTGTCTGACGAATCCATTCAAGAAGATCGCTTGATAATCGTTCGTATTCGCCAACCAATTTTTCATTCTCCATCAATTCATTTACTACCTGAAACATGTACGCCTTATTAGCTACAAATTTCTTATTTTGTACTTATTTCAGCAAATTTAGTCCAAAAAGCAGTAAAAAAGTTGACTTATTTCGAAATGACTTCGAAGTCTAAAAAAATCGCAATAACAAACTTTGCCAATTCTTTTTCCTTGGATGGTCTCTTGCTTCATTTTATTGAAATAATGATAATATGTAACCACATATGTGATAATTGATTTCTCGTCCGGAACATCCACATTCACATCTTAAATTGTTGGCATGGCTATCAAATAACAATAAAATCACGTAATTGATAGAAAAGAGATTTATGATTAACGATGATAATTGAATTGTTCATTGAATCAAAAAAATTAATGACAAACCTTCAGGATCGAGGAATTTTGTGAGTCCAAGTTGTTGCTCAGCTGTATCAAAAGCATTACCAAGATTAAACAGTGCATTGGATTTTTGAAGTTTCTCATATTCAATAAGATCGGGACGATGCTTATGAATGAGTGCATTAAAGGCTAAACCATCCCGCCACGAAGTGGTAAAATTTCTCACGTTCACGTTCGGATATCCAGCCGTTTTCATCTGACACCACAATAACAAGGCCTCTTTAGCACTTCGCGTTTCTTGGTTATCTGCATCTTCAAATGTTATGTCTTGAATCTGAAATTTTTTCACGAAATGAGCTATTCCATATTAAGTTTTCAATTCAACATATCACTATGATATGTAGCATCTTCGAAAATCTACCAATTTTTGATTTTGCAAGGATGCAAGTTTATAAAATATTACTGAATTTCTGAGAACAAACACTTTCTTTGGTTACTTTAAAAAAAAAAAAGATTGCAAAATATATTTTATATGGTTTATCCCTATAATTGACCATTGATTTTAATGAAAATGCATTGAATTTTATCAACCATGGTAATATCATCGTTGAAACCACAGATGAACAACAGCTAGCAGAATAATTTCATTAATGTGGAATCAATGATGAAAATGATTTGGCTGCTTATGGCCGATTATTGAATTATTTCTATTTTCCCATCTGAGCCAACAAAAAGTGAATTAAGCAAATCAGTTGAAACAACAAACGATTTTTCGTACATCAGATGCAGAGGTCAAAGTGCTATGATTATTAACCGAATTAAAAAACTAAGTTAACAAATTCCACTTCATTCGGCAATAATAATCAGAAGTTATCTATTGTAATTCGACGAAACCACTGGGCACTATAATTCGCCAAATACAAACCTGGAATCGTAAAATGATTGTCCAGATAAGACCAAGAGTAAGCCGAGGATTTCCATCAACAACGTCATGAGAACCGAGATTCTCCAAGTGAACATGCTGATCCCGCAAAAACTGCAGTCCTTTATCTACATTTTCTAGGCAATGTATACGCATTTTTCCGCGAGTTGGTTTAGGCTGCAAAAAAGATGTAAAATTCTTTCCAAAAACCTTATGTTTATTCATGCAAACATAGAGATGTAAGTCAGAAAATTCTAATTCTAATTCTTCTCACTTAACATAAGAGGTATGTTTCGATCTGATTATGTACTTGACAAGAATTGGAATGTACTTGCCCAGCATAAAGAAAAAATTTAAAAATTCGGGAAATAATGAATGGGAAAAAATTTTTTAATTCTCTAAAGGAGCCTTGGACATAAGCAAAAGGTAATCTTGAAATTCTGATTCAAAGGAAAAATGTTACCAATCGTTCCCCGGACAACACCTCCAACAGTCTGATAAGCATTTTTCCATCACGCATATCCATATAAAGATCATGGATCTTACAATTTACTCGCAACAAATGCGAGTTAACCCATTTCGTAAAAGTTTTTTTCTGCACGTTTTCACGTTCGTCTGAAAATTCGCATATATATCATATATATCTCTGTTCATCTGGCAACTCTTTTTTTAATTTTTTCTGTTCATTTGCAATATTTCTAAATTTATTTTGCAATATATTATCGTATAAGAATAAATGGTTCAGTGAGTTGTTGCTCAATTCGTATACTGAGGTTTATTCCCCGCAGGAATAAATCTATCCAAAAGCCTGGGTGGTGCTGACGACTCACTTGTATTTCTATCGCCAAGGGACTCCCTGGCATATGTGTCCAAATGCAACAAGTGGAGCGAGTTTAACCAGTAATGGTGAGGATTCTTTAAAAAAAATATTATCGTATAATACTAGTTTATAATCAATGCTGTCATTATAAATACTATCCATATAAAGATCATGGATCTTACAATTTACTCGCAACAAATGCGAGTTAACCCATTAAAGCAAAAGTTTAAACAGTACATCCCACTTTTTTTACTTTTATTTCTTTAAACAAAACTGATAAATTAAAGATAAATTATTGTGAAATATTCTTTTACTGCTAATTTACTATTTTTAAAAAAAAATTCTTCCCACCAATAATAAGAAAAAGCATAAAAAATTTATGCTGAAAATATTTAAATAAATATTTGTAAAAGTTATAATGGACAAAATAAAGCAATTCAATGCATAAATCTTTTACTGACACCACAAAATCTGCTTATCATTTGAAAAAATGGCCTTAACAACTAAGAATTAGTTATTTAGGTTTTAATCATATATTTGCTTTCGAACTTTTGTAAACAAACATTGCAATTTTTTTTATTTTTGTTCTAAAGGAATACTCTAAGAACATTTCATCATTTCTGGTTTGATCCACTGTTACAATAATATAATACTACCACTTTATTAAAGTCATTTGAGGAAAGAATACATCCTCAAAATCATTCAAAAAAAATGTTCTTAAATATTCATTCAGAAATGTAAAAATTTATAAATAACCCTTAAAATTTCGAAAATCGATATGAAGACCCAATGTATTGCAGACACCATTCCAATAAGCGACGACTATAAAATAATAAACAGCGTTACTAAGATATAAAATCCACTTCCTCCAAATGATAAGGACATTTCCTATTTCAACAACACTCATTTTCCTTCTTAATAGGCAAATGAAAATATGCTTCACAAAAAAGAAAATCGACTGCTAAATATACAAATAAAATAATATACAGATAAAACAAATACCCCTATAACCACATTATTTCCAATTTTTATAATAGCTAATGCGACTGTTAAAAATTAAAAGTTCTAATAAAGCAGCAATAAAATCTTGGTTACTCCTACTTTAAAATTTACTCTGTTATCCAGTATGCATTTTTATTTGCCAATTAATGATTTTCCTAAAGTTGTAGAAAATTTTAGGCATACATTCAATTACCTCTAATTTATCAAAGAAACGTGTCACGCCTTTAGTTTTTGTACAAAATTAAATTATTGTAATATTTTAAATTTCCACATTTCTATAAATTTCAATGCGATTTTGAAAGAAATTGAAAAGGAAATGAATATACAAAAAAGTCGAAACGTGCATTATTATTTCGTCACAATTCGCATTGATCGCAAACTCATCAAATATTTCGCAAAATAATCAATTCTGTTTAGTTCATTAAAAAATTTCAAATGTTTTTCCCAAGAAATGTACTGAAAATTAAAAAACCCTCTCTTCTCATGAAAACTGAAGACAAGACATTTTATGTCAAAACAAAGCTCAAATCTTACGAAAATTCGCAAAAATCCGTACATTTAAATTTTCTTAAATTCGGATGGTATCTAAACGAGATTCGATAGAGATTATTCGCCAATGTGCCTGACGCTACCTGAAGCATTCACCATACAAGGTATTCAGAAAAAGACCTTTTCGATAGAAGTTAGCTATAATTCAAGCTTTTCTTTAAAAAAGTAACGCAGTTGTGTTACCGGTGGTACTACCAGAAAGCATAAGGGATATTGGCAATGAACTCTGTTTGGCATGCCTCATTTCTAAAAAATATTCACAATGTTCTATGAACCGTTTTCACGACCAACTTGCAACTCATTTTCGCATAATTGAACCAACTCAATTCTCATTTTTTCAATAAATGTAATGTTTATGCCATATGGAATAAAATGACTGTTCACAATTATTTCATTAAATCTATCTTCTTCCATTACATATTGACAATTTCTTGCAATATGAAATTTCACATCAAGAAAATTAGTTCCTTTTGCACTAGAAAATTTGAATCTTTTTTTATAATTCCATTACCAGAATTTCAACATTACCCTAATGGCCTGCTGAACCTCCTATTTAAATATGTTCAAAAATAAAAGCCACTACCCTAAAACTATTTAAAGAGACTAAAAGATAAAATATTAAAAGATATTCTGAACGATGAAAACTACTAAAAAAAAATCATTTTTAAATAATTAACGACTAAACAAATAAAAATTCATTTGCCTAATATCCACCATTAACCCATCAGCTTTATAAAATAAAATACTCTTCGTCGAACTACTTCATCCACTTCAAAATCGAAACATAAGATTGTTTCGAAAAACTCAAGACTCTTTCGTGATAATAATAATAATAATAATAATAATAATAATAATAATAATAATACATTAAAAATAAAATCTAATCAAATATGAAAAATATTGCAATGTTGAAAAAAAAGCAAATTAATAACAAACCAGCAAGCGCTTTAATTCGAGATCTTTCGAATAACCTGGCCGATGAATTTTCGTCATATTCATCGTAATCTTCGATTCGACCATTATAATCGTGACCACGTACTGCTATATCTGTGGTCATCTCCTATAAAATTATTGAATTTCATTATTAGCAACCATAAATACTAAAAAATTTCAAGCGATTATGCCCTTAATTGCGATAATAAATTTATTTTTTTTTTGTCTAAAAATAACAAGAAAAATATTTCTAAAACTTCTATTGCTATTATAGTGCTAAAAAAATTTTGCTCGATCCGAAACCGACAGATAGTAATCACTGCGTGTAATAAAATATAAAAAAAGCGTCCATGATTCTTTTGAAATATTTCTCTCTTTTTTTTATCGTTCATAATTTGTGATGCGCAAATTTCAACAGTGCCACCTTCAAAAATCCTCAAACTCCAACTCCCAGGGAGATAAGTCTACAATTATAAATAGGTTAATGGATACTTCTTCGTCTTCGTCTTTTCTTCGTCTTTTAAGACGAAACTGAGGGATCCATAAAAACCACAAAATTTTTCATTTAATCGACGAGTCAACGAACTATAAGAATCGCGAGATGCGAGTAATTCGTCGAGCTATCCTCTTTTTTCTAAGAGCACTCATCATTTCTAATTAGGCTCGCTCAGCAGGCTTGTCGGACCAGGCCAGAGAGTCACTTAACAATTGAAGGGTTGCTAGTATAACTCGGCGTCGACCTTAAAATAGGACCTCTGAGATGAAATGTCGTGTAAATGCAGAAAGCGCGAAAAAATTGCTGCTAAGATGATTCCGAATCGACCAACGAACTCGTTTCATCAATGGTCAGGAAATCGAGGAAGAAATGAAACTTCTGTTCGAATTCGCCACTTCTATTTTTTTTTTTTTCAAAGCGCTCGATGCTACTTGTTAGTCTCTTTTGCACCATACAAGGTGTCATTTGGTAAAACTGAGGTGCAAATGAATTGCTAGTATCACCTGCAATGGTGATTCACTGCGCCAGTGGTGGCGTTGAGGGGAGGCGCTACTGGCCAAGTCATTGTTAGTTAGCAGAGACAAGGACGACTCGCTCTTGGCCAATCGCTATTGGCCGAATGACTCGCTGTTGATAAATCAGAATTTGAAGAAACAAAGAGATTTAAAAAAAGCCAAAACGAAGATAACTCTCGACGAATGATTGGAGTTCTATGAAATATTTTTTTTAAGTATTAAACTCAAAAAAGAAATTCGAATAAACTCCTTTCGCTTTTGTTTATCTTCTCCACTAATTCTATAATTTTCTTCTTTATTCCATTTCTTATAAATTCCATTAAAATAATAAATATTCCCCTCTCCTCGCCAACTCCCTCATAAATTATACCTCCGAACCTCCGATCTTCACTCTAATTCCACCGCCCAGCGCATTTAAAAAATAAATCGCTTTAAGGTTCAATACGAATTACAAATTTTAGCAGCTTTATATTTTAAGCACTAGTTCAAAAACTTTTATTCTATTTATTAATTTCATTTGAAGGACTAAAGAAATATATGGGTGGAAATGTATGGAAGTGAGAGCTATTCGGCCTGTTCGAAATGCTTCAGATTCGTACGAGAAACACAGGAAAATAGCAAATTGAAAAAAAAAGAGAGATTATTGTTAGCGAAAATCTTTCAGGAAAGATAGGTGAAAACTAGGTAATCTCCCTTAGAAAAGTGCATAAAGATCAAAAATGTGTATAGTTTTTTCTTGGGATGTAGCCATGTCCTGTTGTCCTCTCTGCACCGCAATGTCCTTTTTCTTAGGCCGCACAATAAAAACGCATAGTTGAAAGCCTCGTTTTTTATGTAATAAAAATCAACATACAACTAGTGTGGTATTTAACCTTATTTTTGTAATACTAGTACATCTGTCTGATTCTGTCCGATGAAAATATCTACGATTCTCGCTTTACGATGGGCCACATTACTAGCCCGGTGGGACCGCAAATTGGCTATCCTTGAATCCATCGATGCACAAATGCTTTTTTGATTTAAAGAGGAAGTGTAGCAGATAGATTTTATGAAAAACGAATGATTAATTCGTAGCATTTCACCTTAAACCTTCTTCCCCTTATAATTTCCAATCCCCATCTCCCAGTTCCTTGCGGTTCCCTCCCCCCCCTCCCCCACCCAGTCCATCCATCCACCTTCATTTTTTTCATCTCTCTTCACTCTTTCCCTATTCTTTTATTTTCTTTGTTATAATAACACAAATCCGATAAATGAAATCTATAAAAGAGGCGTTTAATTTTAAATCGCAAAATCGATACGAAAATGATACATAACATTTGGGATTTCTAATAGCAATTTTTTATTCTCAGTTTTTATCATAAAAGAAAAGAACTAAAAGTGAAAAAGTGATAAAGTATGAAGAAGAATGACACTAAAATGACGTGAGAGAGGTGCGAATGAAGGTGATAAAAATCTAAATTTTAAAAGATAAAAAAGTTAAACGAAAAATTGTAAAGAAAGATTTCCGATAAGTTAGGTTTAAAGATTAAATAGAATAAATAAGAACTTATCATTATCATTATTATCATTTACCATTATTATCATGAACAATCAGATAAGATAAGTGAAAATCGGCCTTCACTATCACCATTGCTGATTAGGCTCAGTCCGCTGATTCCTGAGACTAGACAAATTTTACCATGGAGTCACGTGGCGATAGGAGTACAGGCGAGTCGCCAGCATCTTCCGGATTTTTGAAGGACAGATTTACTTCTGTCGGACGGTCGCACCATCAACGCTTCAGAGATTGATCAACAAACAAATCATTGAGGCTTCTTTCTCGCTTCCGCCATTCGGACGACTAAATTTCCGCCTGATGAAGCTGCATCGACGGAATTCGAGTCATTCTTAAGTGAAAGTACTAGGAAGATGAAATGATTCATTTTTGAAATTCAGATAAAAGTTGGAACATGAGAGAGAATAGCTTCAGTTTGCTATTTGTAAACTGAATAAAATGGAAGCGAATATTTTAAATCAATCAAGATAGCCTTAGATAGCCGAGTAGTGATTGTTGCTCAGATTATGATTATCGCCTCCAATATCACGATTTAGACTCGATCGCTGACAGAAATAAAACTGCAGATGGTGAAGGCGACGCTCTACTTCTTTCTCTATATGACTTTCTCGCAACGATTTTTTATTATCCTAATAGGCAATATCTTCCTAAAAAAAAAAAAAAAATTCTTATATCACTAACGATCAGTGGGTGATAGCATAACGATAAATGCTAAGCGTTTATCACTTATCACTTAATTAATTTTCATTTTAAAACAAAGCGGTCGTTTCGAGCTCTTTCAGCTAATTTTTTTTCAAATAATCCTATAAGGAATTTTACCACTTGAATAAAGAGGGTTTACGAATATATAACGATAAGTCGGTCGATTCGATTGTCTCTATTTGGAATGGTCTTTGCAATTTTATTCAAACGCATAAATATTATGGTACAATAAAATGTATGAAGGGTGAAGAAGAAAAGATTGACATAATCGCCGATGTGATTGCCATATTTCGCGCATTCATCATCCATTAGAAAATATTTAGTCCTTTGAAATCGCTTGATTAACTATGAAAAAAGAAAAGACAAATTTTAAGAATTGAATTCTAAAAAAAAAAAAATATTAAAATATTAAATATTTAAAGGACATAAAAAAGACGATTCATGTCCGTCCATATGGTAAGCATTCCATGTGTTTACGAAAAAGAAAACTGAATCTGCTGAGATATTCCACCACACCACCTCGTTTGAATCACTTCACTCATTGCCCCGAGTGTTTAAGTGTATTTTCATTTGAAGACATAAATAAATAAATAAAGAAAAGATATCCAGATTTATTAAGTTTACTAATAAAATTTTTTTAAGTATTTTAATTTCAAGACTACTCGAAAACTTTATTGCTGGATCATAGTCGAATGAAAATTTTATAACAGCACTAATGCTCCTAAATAAATAAAAAAAAGTTATGTTTGTTCAAACGTGTTTTAATTGGCTATATATAGTATATGCTTGCACAATTGTGAAGAATGATAAGATCAACGTCCTGTGAAAATCCTCATCTAGACAGACAAGTAAGTGCTGGCCAGTCAACTAGATAACGTGGTAGTAGATAAGGAGCAGAAATCAGCACTGGTAATGGTTATAGAAGTACCAAGTGAAAGAGATGGAATATGAAGAAATTCGATAAATTTTAGAAGTTGAAAGAAGAACTAGAGAAGATGTGGAAAATGAAGGCCAAAATAGTCTCAGTGATAACTGGAGCACTTGCAATTATGCCTCTTCAGCTGGAAAAGTTGTTTTAACAGATTTCACGAGCAAAGTCAGAAATCTCTCTTAAGAACAACGTATTGCTATGAACAGTGGTTAAGTGCGCAGAGCCATCAAGTTCCCAGGCCTATTGTAGATGACCCACACCACTCACAGGACGTATATATGCTAGCGACTCATATGTACCTCTATAGTCCAGGTGACTCACTGGGAAAATTTGCCAGATCCGAGAAGCCAGAGGATCGAACCTAGCCGGAAATGATGAAAAAGAAACATATATATATTTCATAGTTCACGTTTTTTATAATATATCTTTAAAATATTCTAAAAATTGAATGGAACGATGGAAAATATGAACGAATAAATAAATATCGTTCAATTTAAACATCAAAAATTGCATTAAATCGTTCATATCTTTTATACAATTTGATAATATATTTTGGCAGATAGTATTTTTCAAAATCTATTGCCATATACTTCAAATAAACATAAATATTAAATTCATTAAAAACATAATATTAAATATTAAATTAAATTAATAAATATTAAATAAATAAATAATAAATAAATAAATAAATCTTAAATTCGGTATATTTAAAAAGTTAAAATAAAATTAATGTAATTTGCATAATTTTAATCTAAATTTTCTAAATTTTATCTAAATTTTCCAAAATATTTCTTATTTATTAAACTAATTTTACAAATTAAATAAAAAAAAAACGGAAACTTAGAAAATAAAATATTTTTTATATTTTGCAATAAGTTATCTTAAAAAGTGCATGAAAGACAAATAAGTAGGTAAGTGATCAGTG